CCGGGGTGGGGGCAGGTGGGCAGCGGCACCGAGGGACCCCGGCCCGCCCCCCCAGGCCCTTTCCCGCCCTGCAGCTTCTCAGGTGAGACCCAGCGCCATCTCACCCAGCAGCCACTGCCCAGCCGCGCCCCGGGCTGAGGGCTAGTGTGCCTGCCCTGCGACCCCCGGGAGGCCCCCCAACGTGCAGAGCTTTGCCTGAGTTTGGAAGAATCAGAATTCCTTCTCTAAAAAAAAAAAAAAAAAAAAAAAAAAAAAAAGAATATAGGTCTGGGGCCACAGTTGTGTAGCGAGTAAAGCCACTGCCTGTATTACGTATGACTGCTGGTTCAAGTCCTGGCTTCTCCACTTCTGATCCAGCTCCCTGTTGATGCACATAGGAAACGGTGGAAAATGGCCAAAGTGCTTGGGCCCCTGCACCTACGTGGGAGACCCAGAGGAAGCTCCTGGCTTCCATCTGGCCCAGCTCTGGCCATTGCTGTCATTGTGGGGTGAACCAGTGGATGGAAGATTTCTCTGTCTGTGTCTCTCCTCTCTTTCTGTAACTCTGCCTTTCAAACAAATAAAATTTATAAAAGGAAAAAAGAACATAGGTCTGCAGTTTTCATGTTATGTCTTTGTTCAGTTTGGGTATCAGAGTGATACTGGATTCATAGTAAGTTTGGCAAAGTTCCATCCTGTTCAATATTTTGGAATAGCCTGAAAAGTATTAGACTTCATGTTTGAATGTTTTGTAGAATTCAGTGGTAAAACCACCAAGTCTTGGACATTTCCTTGATGGAAGACTTTTGATAATTGCTTTCAATCTCAGTGCTTGTTATGGGTCTGTTTAAATTGTTTATATCTTCTTGATTTAATCTTTGCAGGTTGTAAGTGTCTAGAAATGTATGTGCTTCTGAGGTTCTCCAGTTCATAGTAGTTTCTTAAGATACGTTGTATTTCAGTGGTGTTAGTTGTAATGTTTCCTTTTTAATCTCTGATTTATTGGAGTTTTTCTCTTTTTTTTGGTTAGTCTGGCTAATGATTTGTCTATTTTCTCTTCTCAAAAAGCCAGTTTTTTGTTTTGTTGATCTTTTGTGTTTAGCTTCAATTTCATTTATTTCTACTCTCTGATCCTTATTCTCACCTCCTGCTGATTTTGGATTTGGTTCGTTTTTGTTTTTCTGTCTTAAAGATGCAACATACAATCATGTATTTGAAACATTTCTGGGTGTTTTTGTTGTTACTGTTTTAAAGATTTATTTATGTGGGGGCCTGCGCTGTGGCGTAGCAGTTAAAGCTGCAGTCTGTGGTGCCGGCATCCCGTACGGGCACTGGTTCAAGTCCCAGCTGATCCAGCTCTCTGCTATGGCCTGGGAAAGCAGTAGAAGATGGCCCAAGTGCTCGGACCTCTGTACCCACATGGGAGACCCAGAAGAAGCTCCTGGCTCCTGACCGGCACAGCTCCGGCTGTTATAGCCATCTGGGGAGTGAACCAGAGGATCGAAGTGTCCCCCACCCTCCATGTGTGTGTGTGCGTGCGCGCGCCTCTGCTTGGGCCCGCCTCAGCTGCCTTACCAGGCGCATTAGCAGACAGTTGGATCGGAAGTGGAGCAGCTGGACTCAAACCTGTGTGCATATGGGATGCCTGGGATGCCACAGCAACAGCCCCTGTTTCTTAGAATGTGTGAGACCCCCGGCCGGCGCCGCGGCTCAGAGACCCCCGCAAAAGCCCCTAAACAATGCAGGTCCTGGGAAATGGGGAAGCAAACTGGTTTTCAGAGGAGCGGTTAAAGGTTACTTAGGCGCGGTTAAATGTTACTTGAGATATGGGCACCGAAACATTCTGTTATGTACATAAGCCCACTCCCCTGTGCTTGCTTAAGCTTAACAAAGAAACTGCAAGGCACGTAAGGCACGTAGCAGCCCGTTTCTCTTCCCAGACGACCCCCTCCCCCGGTGTACCCCTTTGACCTAGTACTTTTCCACTGACATTACCGCTTTCAAACTGCCATATAGGGTCAATTGCTGAGAACTATCCAATGAACTTACGCCACCCTATAGTATGTTAATTTTGTGGTTTTTCCCCTTAAAAGCTGTGTGAGATGATTGTTTGGGGCTCTCTCTTTCTCGCCGCTTGTGGCAGCAGAGGGCCCATTTGCGCAAATGAAATAAAACTGCCTCTTGCTTTTTGCATCGCCTGGTCTGGAGTCTGTGTTTCTGGGGTCGTCACAAAAGGGCACCACTTTTGGGGTCCTTCAAATATAAGCACTGAACTGCTACAGACTTCCCTCTTAATACTGCTTATTCTGTATCTCACAGGTGTTGATATGGTGCTTTGAGTTTCATTTGTTTCAAGGAAGTTTTTTATTCCCTTTTTAATTTCTTCAGTGACCCAGTGATCATTCAGTAGCAAGTTTAATTTCAGTGTATTTGTGAGTGTTCCATTGTTGATGTTTAGTTTTAATACTTGATGGTGTGGGAAGACACATGGTGTGACTTCAGCCATTTTAAACTTACTGAGACTTGATTTGTGGCCGAAGACACGACTGTCTTAGCAGATGATGCACGTGCTGGTGAGAACAGTGTGTATTTTGTAGCTGTTGGGTGAAACGTTCTGGTCCATTTGCTCTACAGTGTGTTTCAACTCTGATGCATCTTTGTTGATTTTTGCCTGGATGATCTACACATTGATGAGCGGGTGTTGAAGTCACCTACTGTTTTTGTGTTGGGATCTATCCCTTTAGGTCTAATAGCATTTGCTGTATATATCTGGGTGTTCTTGTATTGGGTGCATATTTATTTATGATGTTTTATCTTCTTGCTGAATCAAACCTTTTATCAAAATATAATGCCTCTGTTTTCATGGTTTTTGATGTAAAGTCTGTTTTATCTGATTATTTTTGGTTTATATTTGTCTGATGTTTCTTTTACCAGCCCTTCAATTTGTCTATATGTGTATTCATGTGTGAAGTGAGTTTCTTGTAGGTGGCATATAATGGCATCTTTTTTGTGCATTCAGACAGCATAAATCTTTTGGTTGGAGAATTTAATCTATTTACATTCAGGGTTGGTGTTGCTAGAGAAGAACTAGGACCTGCTCTGATAGGGAATCTGGCAGTGTTGCGTGTCTCCACGTTTACTTCTAATGCAGGACTCCCTTCAGGCCAGTCCCGCTCCCTCACTGTTAAAGAATAGCTTCACTGGCTATCATATTCTTGGTTGAAAGTTTAAAATCCTGACTATATCATCCCATTGTCTCCTGTACTGTAGGGTTTCTGCCGAGAAGTCTGATGTTAGTATACAGGTTGTCGTTTACACGCCACTTGATGCTTTTCACTACTGTCTTTAGGATTCTCCCCTTGTCCTTAACTTGTGACAGTTTAACTACAGTATGCCTTGGGCACAGTCCTTTTTGAGGTCTTTTTGAGTCTGCTTGGGATTCTTTGAGCTCCTTGTATCTGGATGCCCATGTCTCTTTCAAGATCTGGGGAAGTTTCAGCTATTATTTAGCAGGTTCTCAATGAGTTTTTCTTGCTCTTCTCATTCAGGAGCACCTGTAATATGGATATTTGGTTGTTTAATTGTATCCCATATCTCATATGGACTTTCTTTGTTCAGTTCTTTTCGTGTTTGTCCGAGTGGGTTCTTTCAAAAAGCTCACCCTCGTGGTCAGAGATTGTTTGCTACACTTGGTCTGTTCTGCTGGTAAAGTGCTCATATTCTTTGTCACTGATTGAAGATTTCTCCTCCAAAATTCTACTTGGTCCTCCTTAATGAGTTCTATCTCCTTAGTAATATTTTCATTCAAGTCACTCATTGCTTTCCTCATTTCTTCAAGCTCTCTCTATTGTGTTGAAAAATGCGTTGAATTTCCTTAAAATCATCTCTTTAGATAGATCTCCTTCAGTTTATGATCTAATTCTGGAGAACTGTTGTGTCCCTACATTGACATCTGCGCATCTGGTGTTGTTTACAGAGTGTTTTATTGGAAAACAGTTTATGGTTTAGCTGGAATGCAGGGTACCACTTGGCTCTGGGTGGGCTCAGGAGTGTGGTCTGAGGTCTTTGGCTTTAATGTGAGTAACACAGGGTCAGGTCTGCTGCAGTTTGCAGGGGTAGAATTGTGACTTGCATGAACGCGGGCTTCCTAGGGTGTGAATCTTTAGTCCACAGACTGGGGACTGGGACATCCAGGGCCTTGTTCTTGGTGCTGGTGACAAAGGTGGCTGTCCCCTTGTGCCACTGCAAGCCTGAGTGATGTTGGGGCTGTGTGATGTGGATGGGCCCTTCTTCAGGTCTCGCCAGCAGAGTGCAGCTGATGCTGTGGCTTTTAACACCAGTGGCCCACATGCCAGGGTGGGGGACACGAACTGAAGCCTGCTCCAGCCCGGCTACACGGTAGACAGATGTTATTCTGGAGGTTTGGAATCCATAGACGTTGGAACACACGTAGGTTCTTCCCTAGGTCCGCTGGGTGGATTCCAGTGGGATTGAGGAAAGTAGCACTGATTGTCATGGGGTACAATGGAGTCATTACCCAGCTGTCCCAGGGTAGGACTAAGCTTCGGGGGGCTAGCAGCAGCCCCTAAACCAAGAGGGAACGGCTCTGGATCACAAGGGGTGCATTAGCACAGTTCCAGGGTTTATGCCCAGAAAGTACCGGATTCCGGGGTCTGTTGTCTGCCTTGCACAGTTCATGACGCTGGCTCTGCTGTGTGACAGCAGATTCCAGCCGATGCTGAGACCCTCAGCTCCCCCGGCTAGCGTGAGAGCCAGTAGGTGACTGTGATTTCCTCTGTCCCCTAAAGCTGGGTGGCAGGGGCACAGCAGTTTCTTCCTACCTTGACCTGAGAAGGCAGCCGCTCCCAGCGTCTCGGAGCTCCGTTGCCACTTCTCAAACGAAAGCTGCTATCAGTGTGGCGACACTGCGGCCTTCTCTGGGTCCCGCCCCAGAAGCCTGGTTTTATTAGATCACTTTCCAATGCTGTCATTGGATTAAACGGGCAAACACACCAAAGGTATTAAGGAGAGTTTTATTGTAAAGATAGGCAGGACCTACAATTGTACATTTTTCCACGTCTACAAAAACTCTCAGAGTAGGGATTTCTTCGTGTCTGTCGTACCAGCAGACAGATTATTTATAAACTGGGAGGAGGGACGGTCACTTCTTGCCAAACTGAGGCAGAGGCGGCGGCACCTTGATGTCTTGGCCTCTCTCCAGCTTCTTCTCACAGTCCACCAGGTAGTTGACGCCGTCGATGACGATCTGGACAAGCTCCACCTTTGGGAGGAAGGGATCCAGGGTGAGCGAGGGGAATGCTGGGGAGCTGAGCCCCTGCCACACTTCCCAGTAGTGTCTTCCTTCTCACTTTCCCTCACAGAATAGGGGAGCAAAGGCCGAGCTGTCACAGGCTCCTATCTGGTCTTAGTGAACATGGGGTCACCACTGTGTGTGCACTTATATAGTAAAAACCGTTCGTTTCATACCTTCTCCCCCACGTCTTTGCTGTAAAATGTTTGTCTACGAGGCAGACTGCAGAGAGTGCCCTCGTGGTGGGGGTTGGCCGGATCTGATTCTGACCTGCCTCTTAGTGATCTGAGCACGGAGTGTGCTGTAGTTAAGGGATCATCAGCTAACATCCAGTGTTTGGCAACTCAGTCATGGGCACAGTGCCAGGGAAATAGTCCTTCCAGGAAACCGTCAAGTAAGTATGTTAAGATACAACACTCTCCCGGCTGCTCCTCTTCCGTGGCCGGGGAAGGCAGTGGAGGATGGCCCAAGTGCTTGGGCCCCTGCACCCCATGGGAGACCAGGAGGAAGCATCTGGCTTCGGATCCGTGCAGCGTGCCAGCTATAGCAGCCACTTGGGGGGTGAACCAATGAAAAAAGGAAGACCTTTCTAACTCTGTAAGCACGAATTTTAGAGAATTTCTTTTTTTGACAAATACAGTGTGAGAATTAAAGTTTCTACACACTGTGTTTGCTTACATGACAGCGCATGTACCTGTGCTTGCCCCACCCCTCTCATCACCTCCCAAGCAGACTGCGCTGACCCAAGGTATCATGAACGAAGAGCAGGGCTCAGAGGTCCCGGCGCACTGGCGCTGGAACAGCAATCGGGGATGACGGAGTCCACTCCCCTGCCCGTCGTCTCCATGCGCAGGACGCTGGTTAGACTTTCTCTGCTTAGCCAGTTGACCCAGGGTCTTTGGAGGTTTGGTCTCCTGGTCAGTGCCTAGAGAATTTCTGGTCAGAAGAAGGGCCTCCTTGCTTTTATCCCAGGAATTCTTCTAAAAATGCACCCTAGTGAGGTATGTGAGTTGGGAGTAGAAGAACGTACAGAGATGGTCAGGACAACGTGAGGGAAGGGATCACCTGTCCTCTGCTGTCACTCAGAGCATGTAGTAATGAAGGTGTTCCAGTGTGTGTTACAGTACCCAATGTGTGTTGTGATTACTTTAAGGGGTCTTTTTAGATAATTCTTAAATTATGGAAAGCAGTCTAGAATACTGTTCAGAGTGGTAGCTAGGGTTCTAAGAGTCTTTTGAGACATGTTTCCAGCCTTTACAGTGGTTACCTGTTGGCTTACTGCTAAGTTACAGCTTGACTGCCATGCGCATGGGGCAGTGGGCAGCCCCCATCACTCTTGGCTTCCCAACCTGGCCTACCCCCTGCCGTCGGTGTGTGCTGGGCCTGCAGATCTGGCATGGCCTTGAAGCCCCTCCCTCCGTCCAGGTCTGCCCCGTGCCTGCTGCTGGAGGGGGCGGAGCAGCTCTCACTCCCGGGGAGCTACCTGATTTGCCTACACACCCACAGGTTACAGGTGGCCTTGAAATGCCAGGATTGGTTGGCTGTTTGCCTAGCACCTCTTCTTATAGGGCCGTGCAAGGGCAGTACCTCCGACCTGCCGATCCGGTCGATGTTGGAAATGTCATACACGTCTGCCACCGCCGCGGTGTCCACACCGCCCGTGCCGCGCTTCTGCAGCCTCAGGTTCTCCAGGATCTTGGAGAAGCGTGGGTCCTAGGACGAGGACGACACTCAGTGCCGGGGCAGCAGAACCCGTCCCCCATCACTGGTGTATCCACTGGGAAGGACACAGGATGAGAGGAGAGCCGGTGTTTGCTCCGGGCTAGGGCGCCGTGCTGGCACTGTGGAGCCTCACTTGCACCCGGTGACCTGGGTATTGCCTTCGTCTGCTGTGGCTGTAAGGAGTGAGCGTTCCTGTGCTCACTGAGGCCCAGGAGGCCGGGAGGGGGCAGAGGCCTCCCCTGGAAGACGGAGCCAGCGTCTAGCCTGGGGCTCCTGTCCTCTGTACAAAGCCACCACGGAGCCCCTTCCTAAGCTCATCCCATCCTGATTCCTTCCCGAGGGTCCCACCTCCCACCACCAGTAACACATGAACTGGAGGACTGGGACCGAGTCAGCCGTGGCCAAGCCCAGTCTGGATCAGGCACGGAACTTCCCTGGCACACACTGGCTCAAGTCACCCAGCTGCAGTGAGGAGGGACTCTGGCCTGACTCCCACTCGGGCTCTTGACTGCTTTTCACATCCTGATAGCAGCTTTGGTGTTACAGGCGTTGTTGGAACTCAAATTGTGGAGTAAATCACTTCCCATAATTTAACATTGGGATTTTAATTTTTTTTTTTTCCCCAGAAAGCACCAGGGAAAAACCATTTGGTGTCCTGTGGCAGAACCGTGTACCTCTTCCAGCGTTGGAGTCAAGACAGCAACCACCGGCTACAGAACCAGCAGGTAACGCGGTCACGCCCAGGCCCGACCTGGCCCCTGCCAGTGCTTGGCCCCTTCCTGCAGGCGGGACCTGGGACCTTGCAAGTGAGGATGCCGCCCCTTCACACGTCCCCTGCGCAGCAGCCTGTCACCGAGCATTGAGTGAGAGACGCGGAGTCTGTCTGACCACAGCATCCAGGAGCTGCTCACATGCTCGTGTTAGCAACCTGCTCGCTCCAGGAGCCACGTGGAGCGGGCTGCCGCCCTGTCCAGACTGGTCCCCCCAAAGGTCTCGTTTGGGGGTCCGTGTTGTGCAGCAATGCCAGTATCCCACGTGGGTTCAGCGCCCCAGCTGCTCCACTTCCAAGCCAGCGCCCTGCTCATGTACCCAGAAAGGTAGCAGGTGATGGTCCAAGTATTTGGGCCTCTGCCTCCCATGTGGGAGACCAAAGTGGAGGCCCCGGTGTCCGCCTGGCCCAACCCTGGCTGTTGCAGCCCTACGGGGAGGGTGTCAGCAGCTAGATGCTCTCTGTGTCTGTCTCTTTGCCTTTGAAGCAAAATAAAGCATAGCTTAGAAACATTCAGAGGCCTCATTCTTGAAGCCATCATCCCTTGATCCAGGCCCCTGAACCCTCTCCTCTCCCCCCATCATTGGACAAAGCCCAGGGCTGAGGAACAGGCCGCCGTGCACACAGCAGCCAGGGCTGAGCCCCACCTTGCTGAGTTTGGGGATCCTCACGTGCACTCCCGCCCGTAACCCCGTGCCAAGGTTCGAAGGGCAGGTCAGAATGTAGCCCAGGCGCTCGTTCCACATGAACTCCCAGCCCCGTTCCTGGATCAGCCGCTCCACCTGCAGGGGAACAGGGAACACAAGGCCGAGCGTCCCGGGGTCCATTCTCTCAGCAAAGCCCCGGGCACCCTGTTTGCTGTGAACAGAGCATGGCACTGCCCCTGTCAGCACATCAACAGGGCCCGACTAAACGGGACGCTGCCTGGAGGCCTGGAACACAGGGCCTTGCACACACGAAGCGCTGCGCGGCAGCTGGTGTGAACCTGAACGTGGACGGATCCTATCAGAGACTGTCTCTGCTCGACATGGCCAAGGGCAACACGCAAGGAAGGCGGAGAGCCAGTGACCCCCAGACTTGCCCAGTGCAGGGTGGACTCTGGGGGCAAGCGTCAGGGCTTTCTGATGACGACGCACCCCGCTGCAAATGCCTTTCCCAGGAGTGCAGGGCTCCCCCGACGGGGCGCTCCCCCGTGCCAGGCCTGCTTTCTGGGAGGAAGAACACTGTGCGTCTTACTTCCTTGAGCCCACGACAGAAGCGCTCAAAGACCCGCTTCATGTTGCCTCCCTTCTCCATGGAGATGACCCGGGTGTGGTCCTCCTCGTTGATCCAGATGAGGAACGTCTTGTCGTAGTTGTGCCTGGGGAGGAGAGAGACAGGGCGAGGCGCACTCAGCGCTCGGACATCCCCACGGCCTCCGGCTTCGCCGCATGTCCGCCGCCGTCAGCCTCCGACTGTGCCTGAACCAAGAGCGAAAATGGTGGGGCCTCTGCAGAAGGAAGAGGACCCGCCCTAGCGATGGCACATCTCACCCGACAAGGACAAGGACGGCAGCCCCGTCCTCAGGGCGGGCGGCGGGCATCGGCCTTGGTGAGTGGGCTTGGCACGCTCCCACCACCATTTTGTTCACAGATTCAACATTGCACGGCACTTTTCCAGAAAGACTTCCCACAAGGCTTGATGTGTCTGCTGTGCAGACCCTGCCCGTGTGTCCCCTCCGCTCCTGCCAGCGCACTCATGACCTAGCACGGCAGAGTCAGGGTGCACCAGGACGGCACGTGCATGCCACACACCCTGCCTGGTTCCTTAACGCCTCAGCATTCAGGCTGTCAAACAAAACAGCTGCTCTGGGAGCCGAGTGTTGCTTTCTCCTCACGGAACTCATGCAGACAAGTTCACCCTGCTGCATGCCTTGCAAACATCGCAGTGCCTAGGTGCACACCCCCAAGTCGCCTGTCCCCTCCAGGAAGCGGAAGCCAGGCACGCTGTCAGCTGCAGCTCACGGCACCCCGAGGTTAGGGCAAGGCGCTGCTCTGCACGCGTGGCACACAGGGAAACGCATCCGTACCAGATTCCCCGGGCATCGGGCCAGTCGCGGGCCATCCCAGCGCACGTGAGCAAAGGGGACACTGGCTTGTCAAACAGAAAGTGGTCCTGCAGGCCAGAGGGGGCGCCAGGGAGGTCAGACGCGTCGGCCAGGGCCAGCGATTCCTCATCTCAGCAGTAACGGCTGAGCCCTTGTGGGCAGGGGTCTCAGCACGGCTGCCCCGAGAACAGGTGAGAGAAACGGGAATACCCGCTTCCCATCGTCCAGATCCCGACCTGCCTCGGTGCCAGTCCTGGGCAGGGCAGTCGGGCGTAGCTAAGGCTGCAAGACCACTCGCTCGGCCCAGCCACAGATCCCTAACAATGACCGCTGCGGAGTGTGCCCGGCCACTGCCCAGCCGGTGAGAGAGCGGCGCAGACTAGCAGGAGCCGCAGGGTCTGGAGAAGCCCCACACGCCGCTCCTGCACTGCGGGCTCCCTCCTTTCCTACCGAGGTCGGGCGGGCAAGCAGTGATCCATCAGTCACAGTAGCCACCCTCACTGCTCACGGCTGTCCCCTGGCATCACAGAGCTGTGACACAGGTGCAGGTGTCCTACTCTGGAGGTCAGGGGAGGAGATGCGGAGGGACCCAACCACCACACAGCGTCACACCGAGGGAGGAGCAGGCTCCCGGGACGCCCAGCCTTGGGCCTTAGCCACCGGCACCCTCCAGCCCACAGGCGAAGCCGGTGTCCCTGCTGTGGGTCAGCGACTCCCCGCGGCGGTCAGATGCCGCTCACTCAGGTGCGGTTAACGGGCGTCTGCTGAAGACGAGCTGGCCAGTGACCGCCACACGGCCCAGCCCTCGGGCCAGGGCGGCCCTCCGAGCTGAGCGGGCCTGTTCTGTCACGGCGCACAGTGCGGTGGCCGGGCAGAGCCAGAACCGGCCGGCAGGAGGCCTCGCTGCCCGCCAGGTGTGGAGCTGGGGGTCCCGTGGCACTCACATCATCGGGATGTCAGGGTTCTACCTCACTCTCGTTTAGAACCCGAGTTACTTTTCAAAACGCCATCTGGTTTCACCTTCACTAAGGGGTCCTGGCGGGAGACTGGGTTTCGGGGGTCTGGGAGAGCACCCTGGGGGCGGCGCACAGGCAAGGCGTCCGGGCTCCCAGCTCGCCAGCCCGATCCGGGTGTTCTGCACCGGCCGCAGCCGCGGAGGACCCCGGGCTCAACCAGGAGGGGTCAGGCTCCCCCTCCCCGGAACCCGCGTCTGCCCGTGCCCGCCACTCACGTCTATGAGCCGCTGCTGGTCCTGCTCCGTCATCTCGGACAGCCTGTAGTAGCGGCCGGCCAGGTCCCCCTTGAGGCCCTCCAGGGCGGTGATGGCCACGTTCTCCACCTCCCTGCGCTCGGCGCGGCTGCAGGCGGGCGGCAGGCTCAGGCCGCGGATGCTGCGGCCGGTGCGCACGCGTGACGACAGCACGTAGCGCTCGTCGAACTGGCCCTGGGTGATCTGCGGGCAGCGGGGGCTCAGGTGGGCGTCCCGGGGGCCCTGCGGCCGCGCAGCCCCGTGCCCTCGGTGTGCACAGGGACAGACGCTCCCGCACCCGTGGTTTGCGGCAGGAAGGGCGTGGCCTCCGGAGAGATGCAAGGTCTCCCCCCACCCCAGCCCACCCCCACCCGAGACATTCCCTGCCGCCCTCCCCGGAGGACCCGCGCTGGGCGCTGGACTGGGCGAGTAGCCCCTCCCTTCTCCCAGGTCTCCGGCTCTCTAGGGTGCCGGCTTCACGGTCGGGGGCCCACCTTGGACGCGTCCAGGTCGGTGGGGTGCTTCATCACCCGGGGGTCGTAGCCGTTGTGCCTCAGTTTGATGACGGGGTCAAACAGGTCAGCGAACACCTGCGGGCAGAAGGCACTGCGGTTCCCCCGAGGTCCCCACCAGCCATCCACAGGCCGTGCTCAGGGGGGATCAGAGGGGGACCGGGGGGACGAGGACCACAGTGGGCTGGGACCAGAGGGCACCATCCTGCCCAGCCCCGCCATCAGGCTGGGCAAGAAACCCCTGGGGCTAACAACTGGAAGGGGTGGCCAGAGGGCCTCAGCTCTGTGGGGCCAGAGAAGCCGCCAGCCGCTAGAGAAGCAGTTTCACCCTCCCAAGTCAGGCTGCGCAGTGTAGGCAGCAACATGGGCTCCCAGGACCGGGCTGCCCAGGAAGTAACCAGAGCAGGGCCTCAGCCCGAGACGGCCGCTGGGTTTTGTCAGACTCCACTCTGTAAGTAACCGCTTCCGGCAGGGCCCTTGGTCCAATCACAGGAGGAGCACCCCACCCTGGGCCCTGTGGGGTCTGGGTCCGGGGGGCCAGCTGGTCCAGGCTGTGGAAGCCCAGGTGAGACACTGCTGTGCCCTGGCTGCCCGCCTGGGAGATGCCTTCAGCCTCCGGCAGCGTAGGGGGACAGAGGAGCCGTGAGGGGGGTGGGCTGTGGGCCTTTAGCAAGAGGCTGCGGGGGTCGGGGAGCGGCACGCTGCTGGCTTCCGTGCTGTCCCTGACAAGGCGACACCGTAGGGTTTGGTCAACTCAGGCGTCTGGGCCCTGCGGGCTAACTGGTCATAGCTGGAAGTTCTCAAGCTAAGCCACAGGCTTGCAGCCGCATCAGCTCCCCGGACCTCCACACCCCGCTGTGCCAGCTCAGCCCTGGCCGTACATCTCACTCCTCTGTGGGGACAGATACGAGGGCAGCAGCAAAGGCAGCTGGTGGCCAGAAAGTCACAGGCTGCGTGGCGCCAGGAAGTGTTCCAGATGGTTCTGTGGGAACCGATTTCCCTTTATGGGCACGCTTCCCGAGAAGGCGCAAAGCCGGCCCCACAGGGACGAGGACTCGGGGACTGAGCTCCCCAAAACCAGAGCGCCCTCCTGGGGAAGCAGCCACCCCCCACTACCTCGTAGGACTCTTCGTCGCCTGCCACCATGCCCACGGTCTTGATGAAGGGGTGGCCGGGGTTGTCCACTCCGGTCTGGATGCACTGGTCCAGGGTGTAGCCGTTGGGCGTCACCTTGTTACGGAGCTTGGCGTAGATGGAGGGGGTGAGGCACTCGGCCATGCAGTTGTTGTGCTTGCGCAGGTCCGGGTAGTCCGCACTGCGAGGGGACAGCCGTCAGCCAGCAGCCCAGCGCGGGAGGAGCCTGGAAGGACCTGGCTCCTGCCCCCCCCCCGCCCCCCGGGCTCGCATCAGCCACTGGGCGTGGGCTATGTGGCTGTAGCCGCCCAGGAACCAAGGCTTCGGGAAGTGGCTCTACATGCAACATTCCCAGAGGGGTGTTTGGTGCAGCCATGCAGACACCTCTCAGGACAGCCACATTCCAAACCCGAGCGCCTGCTTCCTGCTCACGTGGACCCTGTGAGACACCAGTGATGGCTCAAGTCATCCCACCCACAGAGCAGACCTGGTTGAGTTCCTGGCTCCTCGCTCCGCCTGGCCCAGCCAGGCTGTGGGGGGCATTTGGGGAGTAAATGACTGAGGGGAGCTCACTCCCTTCCTCTGCTCTCAAGTAACTCAGGAACTGGAAAAACTAACTGCCCAGGGAGTGCCGAAGGAAGGGTGCTGGCCCAGCCCGGCACTCAGGGACGGGGGATTGAGTGGAAGCCACTGGAAAAGGCGTGGGAATCCAATAGCACAGTCTGTCCCCTAGGTCAGTGGTGCAGAGAGGCCAGGGGCCCTGTGAGTGGGACGACATGGAAATTTGTTTCCGCCGTCATCTTCTGTCCACAGCGCTGCTCCCCGAGAGTGGGATTTTGCCCCGTGGAGGACGGCGCCCAGCAGGGACCTGTCGCTGTCACACACAGGGAGGTGCGAGGCGGGTGCTCTCCCACCCAGGGGCGTGCACTGGGCGAAGACCAGAGTGCTCTGAGCAAACCCCAGCGTCTGCCTCAGCGACAGAGAGCGAGACCCCCAAGAAAGAGGCAGTGGGCTCCGGTCACTCAGCTCCAGCTGCCGGGAGGGCGGGGCCCCCACACTGACAGGATGCACCTGCTCGTCACGCGCCCCCCCACCCCCACCCTGCTTCCCACGGCAGCGCCCGGAGAAGCTCACGCCTGCCGTGGTACCGTGACAGCACATCTTCCAGGGGACGGCCGAGCGGTGAGTGCGGCAGGTGTGCACTCCCGGGGTTGCCTGGATTTGCACGGCGGTGGCGGCTCTGGCTGTGTGAACTTGGGCACCACTCGGCGAGTGGCAGACGGCACACGCCAGGTGCTCTGGGTCTGCTCCCCGTCACAGCTGCTTCTGACTGCAGCAGTGTGCGCTCTGGGCAGAATGCAGATGCGACACTGCCTCCTACTCACCCCAGGCCCCGGGCCTCTGTCTCAAAGCTGACGTCAGGGTGACCTTGTCACCCTCCTGGCAAGCAAAGGAGCCCTGTGGTGAGCTGCGGTGCCGCACAGCAAATCCTCGGCTAGCGACACAGTTACCCTGGAGCCGCCAGGACTCACCTTGGGGGGAACAGCTTGTGCTGATCCCGGGCCTCGGCACACACCTTCTGCCGGTTCACCAGGTAGCCAGTGGTCAGGGCGCTGGTGCCCAGGGTGGCAAACAGCAGAGAAGCATTGCGGCCAGTGAGCAACTTCGAGAAGGTGCTGGCCATCCTTCCTCGGGTCAGAGTCTGCAAGGCGAAGGCGGCAGTGAGACGGGTTCACCGGCAGGACGGCGCAGGCCAGAGCCAGCCCTGCGGAGCTGCGGCCCCTCCCGCTTCCTTGGCGGGCCTTGTTTCTCTTCCTTACACGGCTTAGGGGAATCGAGGTGGTTTAGATGCTGCAGGTATCTAAGTCCCTGCCATTGACTCCAGCCGTAGGAGCAAGAAAACCCAACCACAGTTTCTTCCTCCACCTGCCGGGCAGACCAGGTGCTCTTGGGACACTGCTTCTGCCCAAGCAGGCACAGACGAGGAAGATTCCTGGGCTTCCAAGAGGCAGGGAAAAATCAGACCCACACACCCCCAGGTCAGCTGGTGTCTGAGCTGGGAGCGACAAGCCCGGCAGTGTGGGAGGGCCATGCCCACCTGGACGCGAAGGCAGGATGCCAGCCATCAGCGCGGGGCTGTCTGGGACTCCCCCATGGAGCCAGCACCCTTGAAAATGCTGCCGTGGTCCAAAGTCTGCAGACCCCAACCCCTGGCTCGGCAGCAGCAGACCCAGCACCTCTCGGAGTAAGTTATGCTCCATTTAGGCCCTGGATCCTTGTAGACAACAGCCGACAACAGGCCCTGTGAGGCGCCAAACCCAGGAAGAGGTACGCCACGTGCGCATCAACAGAAGACGTGACCAGAGTTAGACCTCCAGCGGATGGAGGCATCAGAATTGTCAAGGATACAGATCAGCTCTCAATGGATCAAGAACAAGTGTAAGAGTCGTAACTGGAAGAAAGAAACCAGACGAAACTGATTTGAAAGGGACCCACATGGAATTAGTGTGGCGTAGCTGGAGGATGATAAGTGACATGGAACACACATCTTAAGTACCCGGAATGCCGGCCAGAGAACCAGGAAAGTGAGGTGTCAAGGTCAAATCCACAACTAATCCAAGTCTCAGAGGTGGAAAAAGGGAAGTCACATTTGAAGAGAATTGACAGAATTCTCCAGAACTGAGAGAAGCCAAGGAACCATGAATCAAGAGGCACAGCACAAGCCACAAACCAGCAAGGAACCTGACAGCCAGACGGCGCTGGCGCAGCTGCAGAACGTCACCGACAGAGGTGTGACAGCCGTCCGCGAGGCGGGTGGGCGTCCAGCGAACACTGCCGAGTTTGCACAGCGGGGCCAGCGCAGGAGGTTCGGAAGCAGAGCGGAAGCGGTATTGACCTAAACGCGGAGATCTCGTCTAGCCTTCGTCAAAATGACAGTGAAAAAGATAAAACAGGTCAATCATTAACGCTACCCGCGACATACCTGAGCAAGCGACAGCAGGAAGCACCCAGACTGCACAGAACATGCCGGAACATGGAGGCGCTTCACAGAGTTGGAGGACGACGTGATGAGAGGCAAGTGTATCTTGTTGCAAACTATTCGCGAAATCCATGCTTTTCACAACACAGCCTCACCGTGAACTTTTCAAAGATGGCCTCGCATGTCTAAGTCTGAAACCATGATGAAGGGCACGGACAAACACCCTGCTGGGGTCGCTCCTGCCCGGGGGTCAGCGGGGCCAGCAAGCCCTGGGCTCTGCTGGGCAGGGAGCTGCGTAACGAGGGGCTTCGAGTACAAGACAGAGCAGGGCAGCGCTCCGTGCTCCCCGTGACGACCCGGCAGACAGTGTGCACCCCCGCCACACGGGAGCGTCTCCTGGGACTGTGCTGCAAGATGCCCCCAGCTCAGGTGGACAGGTCGCTCCCAGGAGCTGGCTGACGTGTGCATCTGTGACAGCTAAGCCCCGCCTGCAGGGTGAGCCCTCCTGGCCACGCACACGACTAGGAGCCTCCTCGGGGGTTGGCTGTCCTCCTGGATTGCATCTGGGAACTTCCCGCCTGCCCAGTCTCTAACCTTGAAGATCTCCACTGGAAGCCATCAAAGGCCTAAAAGCACTCCACAAGTCGTTCTACAGTACCCCAGGAAAGGGGGCAACCAGCCAGCCTGTCTTCCGTGCTGATGTCTACGTACAGTTTTCTTAATCCTCAAGACAGCAAGAATTGCCAGAAACGGAGAAGCCGCGTGAGCCATTCTGGGTCATCCTGGGGACCCATGGTGGCCTCATCACCGACCTCATCACCTCCTCCGCTCTGCCCCCTGCTGGACTTCACGCTGCTCCGAGGTAGGCAGCTCTCTGGGAGCGGCACCAGCGCTCCGCCCTCGGCAGCATGCCGCCGGCACACACAGCTTCCGGGCTGACTCGCGGCTGCCATGCCCCGCGGCTGCCCCCTCCGAGGCTCGCTGTACCCTCAGCAAAGGAAGATAAGCTTTGGCCAGGGCCCCTGTCAGCGGCACGGGGCTGACGGTACGCAGGACACAGCGTGCCAAAGCCAAAGGGAGATGCAACACAGCACGTCTGGCTTGAGCCTTCTCTCCTTTCATTGTCTGCGCGCTGACAAGTCTGCATCCAAGTGTGCTCGAGATCATCAACTTTGGGAAGCGGAGGAGGGAGGGAGGGGTCAGTCCCCACGTGCAGGCCAGCGCCCACTGCCGTCTAGGGAGGGCTGCTCCCCCGGGAGCCTGATGCGAGGGTGGGGGCTGCTGCCTGCAACACCAGCTCCCCAGAGGGGCACTGCTTCCCTTCCCGACTGCTCCACTTCCAACCTGGCCCCCTACTCATGCTCCTGGCAAGGCAGCAGAAGATGGCCCGAGTGCTTGGGGCCCTGCCACCGAAGCTCCTGGCTCAGTCTGGCCCAGGCCTGGCAGCCGCAGCCACCTGGGGTGTGAATCAGCAGACGGAAGACCTCTTTCCTGCCTTCTTCCAAATAGATTTAAAAAAAAATGATCTGCTTAAGTTATTGGTGTAGTTGCTGTAAAGAAGCCGAGTTGCTTCAGGGTGGACCGGGGTCTCCGTGGGGGTGCAGGTGCGATTCACGCTGATGATGCTGGGAAGATTGTTCTACCGGGCAGGCCATCCTGGGACTGACCCTCATCAGCACCCCACCTCGATGCCTCGTACGCGACTGACACAGCGCCGGGATGTGGCGGCGTGACGCGTTCCTGCTGCTCTGAGCCCCTGTCTCTGTGCAAGGCACACAGACACACGTGGAATCTCGCCACTGCACCCTGTGCGAGACCAAAGCGAGGGTCTCCTTGCATAATGGGGTGAACGCCCGAGACCAGGGCCAAGCCCGCGGTGGCGTCACTGCCCCTGTGACTCAGCGCGCTCTCCGTGGCCTCAGTCCGTGAACAGCTGCACACCGCCAGGCCCCCGATGCTACACAAGCACCAGCTGCAGCCGCATGCCCTGCTCGGAAGAGCCCAGGCGATGACAGGTGACAGAAACGGGCAAAGCGGGGTGGCTGTGTGGACGCGAGAGGTGAGCTCTGCGTGCCGCAGCCCCCGCCTCGGGCTTTGCCCGGCTTTAGGAGATGCACCTGTTACACTACTCAGACCTGATGCAGAGAAGCCCGAGGCCGCCTGCAAAGCCTTGAGCCTACTGAGGCGCCCTGTCCCGGGGTCACTGGGATGGGGGCGAGGGCCCCACATCCAGACACCCCCTCTGAGGGTTCCACCCCCACAGCCAGAGGGCGTGGCTGCTCCCGTTTGTTCCCAGAGCTCGCCTCGGCCAGCTGGTCCAGCCCCCCATCAGCACACGAGGCTGCGGGACGCGGGCGTCCAACTTCACGGCCACCTGTGTGCACCCTGCCACTCTGCACCTGGCTCTCTGGTCTCACGGCCCCCAGCTCAGACAGCCTGAGACCAGCTGTGGGCTGCCATTAGTAGCCAAGTAGCCCGTGGCTCAGAGCGTGCCCCACGCCAGGCAGCCGGCCAAAGACACGCAACGCCCTCCTGTAGGGGCCAGCATCATCACTGTGGGACAAGGTGAACAATAAAATCCATCACCACAGCACGGAGGGATGCAAAGCAGCAGGCGAGCGGGGAGGCGCTCAGAGAGCGGGAGTGCGCCTGCTTGTCCACAGCTTAGTAGTCCGGCAGTGAGAGCAGAGCGAAGCCTTGTCCTGGACAGAGGTGGGCGGGGCGAGACCCGGAGTGGCGCCTGCTTGTCCGCAGCTTCGTCCGGCAGTGAGAGCAGAGCGAAGCCTTGTCCTGGACAGAGGTGGGCGGGGCGAGACCCGGAGTGGCACCTGCTTGTCTGCAGCTTCGTCCGACAGTGAGAGCAGAGCGAAGCCTTGTCCTGGACAGAGGTGGGCGGGGCTGCGGCGCAGGAGCAAAGGGGAGGGGCCTGCGGGAGGGGTGGGCAGGGGCGGGGAGAGTGGACCGCAGGCCGGCCGGCTGCTGCCTGTGTGTGTGCAGAATGGCTTCCAGGGCGTGGGCAGGCGGGAGCCCGGTGATCTGTCAGTGCTGGACATGGCCCTGGGGAGAACCTGGTGCCCAGGGGAGTCAGGGAGAGGTGTCTGCCCTCTGGTCTGGGCAGAACAGATGGACCTGAACAATCCTGTGATTCTGGTCTGCACAGCTGGGTGCCAGCAAGGCCCCCAGGCTGGGGCTGAGTAGGGGGAGCTGGTTGTGGAAGCAGCCGCCCCCTGGGGGACCTGACGCTGCTGTCCAGCCTCTGCTGTCCCCTGCCGCTGGCTCCTGGGACTCTCGGATTCTTCCCAAGTCCAAGAGCAGAAGGCCCGGGTTGTGCCCTGCCCCATGGTGATGCCCTCAGGGCTCCTCCAGGTCCCCTCCCGACAGCTGCAGCTGCTCTCTCGGGCCTGCCACGTCTGTGACAGCAGCAGGATCCTCAGGAGGCGGCGGGGAGGGGCAGCCATGGGCACCTGCTGCCACAGGCACACTGTGTGCTGCCGACCCGTCTCCTGTCTAACAGAGACACGTGGGATCTGGGGGCACCCCTGCCCCAGCTCCAGCCAGGTCCCCTCTGCCTCCGCTGTAGATGACAGGCGACCCCCTCACCCTCCCCAAGCTGTCAGAGGCAGCTACAGCTGACGGCACAGCCTGGCACAGGCGCCCTGGGGACCCTCGTCACGTGCCGACGTCACTCACGCTCTCCCTGGCATGGGACTCCTTGATCTA